CTCTTTCTATGATCTATTGTGTAAATTTAATCTACACTGTTCATATAACATTCATATGTTTATGAAAAGAGCAGGGATACTCTGTATTAAATCCCTCTATGTGAAGTGGAAACACCATATGTATAACAATCATGGAAAAGATAGATATGGAATGAATAATGCATCATTTAAGAAAGGAAATTTTCCCTAATGGATCAGTTGTAGTATCAATAGCAAACAGTAATAGTAATAACATAAAATACTGTATTTATTATTTGGGGTTTACATAGCATTGAAAAAGGTTTAACTGACACACATTAGGGCCAAGGCAAAAATTTCAATTTTCCTTGATTCCATGGTAGAATTTTAGTTTCTTGTATTTCATTCGGTGAAAAGCCTGGAGTGCGCAGCATGATAAAGAAAGGGAAATATTAGTGGAATATGGAAGGAAGGGACAGCAATTAATTATATAAGGACAGAGACTTTTTGTTGTAAATACAGTGATTAATATTAAATAATTACCTCTGGAAGTGGTCACTTCCCTCCTTCACCCATTCTAGAAACACTTAAAGCTCATTTTCATCATTCTAGTGCTTTGCTCTTGACTACACTGTGTCGCTCAGTTAGATAAGCTAGCGTTACTAATAGAAATATTATGCTAATCTCTAGTGACATTCAGTATACATGAGTGTCTCTATATTTAATGTGAAGATTTATCTTCTACAACATATGAATACTAATCATGTGTCTCAGTTCAAGACCTTACCTTCCACTCCCATACTCAACACTGTAGATAATTCTCCATCTCTCTGAAGAAAATATAGTTAAAATGAAAGTATTATAACCTGGTTTTACATCCTTATACTAGTTAGAATCTGAACTCTTTAAATTAGTAAAAAAAAGTTTATTGTACTTACTTTTAAAAATTTTCCCACATGATCTCACTTGTATACACATTTAAGACACATTTTATCATGCAAATAATGAAATGTCATTGGTCAGTAATACAACAAAATTAATGTGGTTGATTGAAAATACAGTGTTAATATTTTAATGCATTATCAAATAAAATTAAATCAAATGCATGGAATTAATATAATAATTGTTCACCTCATAGTTATAGCAGATTAATTGGTCAATAAAAATGGAAAACAAAAAGCTATTAATATGTAAGAAGCACAGGAGTATTCAGTGAAATGTAAAACTCCTAATTCTGTAATATGAATTTAAATTTTTGATAGAATAGATTTTTTTTGGTACCTACTGATAGTGATGAGATGATTTTTACATATGGTCTACTTAGATAAGTAATAAGATATGAAATTATTTTTGTGGCAAGTTGTTTGAATAAGTTCAGAACTATTGTGTAGTCTAAAATATTTTGAATTTATTTACTCTAGATGCAGAAATTATGCAAAACCCCAAACAACAATCACCATTTGTTCTTTTGAGGGGTGGGATAATTTTTTTTTTTTTTTTTTTTTTTTTTTTTTCCCCTCTATGATTTTCTTTGTATTTATATGGTTATGGAACTCTACAATTCACTTTAATATCATTTGCAGGATAGCACTTTGTCTTTAAACAGTTCAGATTGACTCTTAAATATAATTTTCTCTTATTTTTAAAAGTTTTTATTCACTCAGAGATCAAAAAGTAATAGTAAGTACTACAAATAGACATTAAAAATATTAGAAGAAGGAATATTGTGAAAAGTTACATCTCAAAGCAAAAACTAGTCTTGTCTAAAGAGGAACTTTGTCATTTGGGACATCTGTGGTAGCATACTAGGTTTCAAAAGTGTCAGGAAGAATGCACAGTATTCCAGCAGTAGTTAATATAGCAAAGATACAGTCATTTGAAAGGTGCAAATCAGCACATTTTGGTCTGTAACACCATGAATTTCTTTCCTGATTCTTTCCTAAAATTCTACGCTTAAAAAAACCTGAACTGAGAGTAGTCAGAAAATATACAATGATAGAGTGAGAGAAGAAATGAAGAACAAAATCATCAACAGAGCTGATATGAGGTGACTGACATGAGGTAAAAATCAGCAACTGAAAAAAAATCCCTTATGATTTAAAAAAAAATATAGTCTCTGGAGTTCTCCACCGTAATGAGGGTTTTGTTAGTGTTTGAATAGGTACATAGCAAATGACAGCCCTGGTGTTCTTACCTATATGTTAAGTAGAAATGACATGTAAAAGCACTGGGTGGAGAGAGAAAACAGAAATTACTCATGGAAGGTCAACGGCCCAGTCATGAACAGGATTAAAGTCCGTGCCTCTGTGCAGTGTTGTTTCTGCTGAACTACATAGTTTTCCTAGTCCTATACTAGATTGTTTAGAAGAAATATGTAAAGGACAGAGAGAGAAAACGGAAGACCCAAGAAAACTGGTTGACTACTTTTATTAGTTCACAGCCTACACCATTTTCAATACACCTTGTCAAGTGGGCATCATCTGATGCATATGAAAGAAGGATTGAGTGTTTTTCCCCATGAAGTATGATATATCAGCTGGTAGTAAACTGTGAGGGAAGCATACAGTACCAGTCTTAACAAGTACAGAAAGCTATTAAGGTACATGTAAAGCAGACTCCTGGAAAAAATGAACTCTAGGAGGCAAGCATGGGAGAGCATCAATAAAATATTCTTTTTAGACTTCCACTGCATATGGGTTTATACATGTATACACCAAAAAAAAAAAAAAAAAAAAAAAAAAAGAGAAGAAACTATCATACAGAGTGAACTACAAGCATTTGATAAGTAAGAGTGAGGGTATTTTGTTCAGCATTAATAAAGTAAAGAATACCTATTTCCTTCAGCATTGCAATATCTGAATTAACCAGAGATATTGCATTATACATGGAGATTAGACCAGAACTGAATTCAGCAGAAATGGAGAAAGGAGCCATAGAATTTTAAGTAGTTCTGTGATACTGCAGCCTGTGTGGCCGCTGTGAAGATTTGCTGTTCCTGATGAATAATGCATAGAGTATGATTTCTTTCAAGGGAATAATAGGCTATCTAATGAAAACTTTGAAGGGGGTTGCAATTTACCTGCCTGAAATGAACCAAAAGAAAAAAAAAATGCTAGATACATTATTATCAAACAAAATAGTATCAATCATAGCAAAAGTAAAAAGCAGCTTATTTGCTCTTAGTTTCCAGTAATTCTAATACTTGTTTTCTGTCTGAAGATGCTGCATTAAAAATATGACAATTCCCATGTTAAAAAAAAATCCAAGTTTGCACCTCACTAGATCGATATTTTTTTTTTCTTTCTACACTGAAATAGAAAGATGAATGACAAGGTGTCACAATACGCCACTAAAATCTAATTTCAGTATGCTACCCACCAGCAATACAAGGATGTGGAATATTTACTTTGTGCATTTTGTTCTCCTTTGTCTTTTTTCCCTCATTAACTTTCAAATCAGGGGAGACTTTGCTTGAGTGTATCTATTGTTGCATTTGACACTTGTAATTTCTTCTGGAATGCATGGATGACATGCATTCCTGGCGAAATAACAAAGTGTCAGGGAAGTAAAATTAAGAAGAATCAATATGTCTGTTGAGTTTAATATGAAGACTTTTATTCATCTGTAAAGAGCTGAAGGCTCTTCAGTGACTTCATTGCATATGTATGTCATACAACAGTAGAGAAGGGAAGTAAGCTATAGTATCAACAATTCTGTGAAGTTTCCTGAAAATATTAGCTTAATTAGTGAATGATCTAGAAGACTGAAAGACCATCTACTTTTGTGGGATCGGCACAAATACTGATTCTGAGTGAATTAACAGAACCAGATGTCAGGTACTTTAATATGATACAAAAATCATGACTTGTTTTGGTTTTGTAACTAACATGGTAAGAAACAAGCATGCAGTGCCTTGAAATCACATCAGAAATCTACGCTAAATGAGTGATGGAAGAGAACTGTTAAATGCTCAAACACCCATAATTTCTGTCCTCTTTTTTTGTTGTTGTAAATGTATCACATTGCATGATCTGTTTCTGCTACCAGTTAGATCAAAGCACAGCAGAAATAAATCCACTGAAATTACTAGGGATGAGCTCAGAGTCAGATTCATAATATTTCAACTGAGACAGAAAAGAATCCAGATTATTTAATTTAGAAGCATGCTTTCAACTCCAAAGGGCTCAACAATAAACACTGCTATGTAACCCTGTCTCCACATGCCATTTCCACACATTTCAAAAAGCTTACTTTGTACTGCAATTGATTTGAAGATACTTGGTGCTTGATTGGTTTGTCAACACACAGAATATTCTGCCCGCAGTAACAGTTTTGCTAAAGTGTTTAGGAAAGAGTCTGGTTCTTATACAACTTCAATCACTTGTCAGCTCTATAGTCATATAATATCTGGTGTTATGATGAACATTATTGCAGAACCTTGGGTCCATGAATTTGCTAAGTTTCTTACTTTACAAGGAAACATTTCCTGGATCATAATATCTATATGAAATTTAGTTAAACTAGCTGTACAAAAAACTTACCATCCTTCCTTTATTGCATTTACTTTAGTATAGAAAGATAATAGTAAATGGTCAGAATCCATTTTGCAATTTTTTTTTTTTTAATAAAAGCACTATTTTTAATGCAATATAGCCATTCATTTCAAGATTAAAAAAAACCAGCTGCACATGGTTAACAGAAAAATGCAGTTACTCTAATTGATTGTAAAATTCTATGTCAATGACATTAAAGGACTGTTCCAGAATTTATCTATGGTCTTCAGTAATACCTTCAGGCAGAATCAGTTCTTCCAGTTGTAGAGCTGCTTAAATAAGTTTGGGGTGTTTTTTGTTTGTTTTTTTTTTTAATTTGAAAATTACACTTTTACTCTTTATTAAAAAAAAATATTATGTGACTAAATTTCTTCATGTAGTATATACATGACATTTTCCTACTCTGTGAGTAGCACAGAGTATTTAGAAAACAGAAAATGATGTTCAAAGGCAAAGTAGAACTCATAAATTTTATTTGTTTGTCTTCAGCTCTACACTTCTATGTTGGGGAAAACTATGGCTTCTACAGAGGAAGGGACAGAAGATACACTGAAATGAAGGACTCAAGCATCAGTTCCTACATATGCTGGAAGTGGTCTAGGTTGCTCCAGAACCGCCTGGGGCTTTGTACATGACTTTCAAAATGGATAGCTTAACTCAGTTTAACCTGTCTTCTATCAAAACAAGGTAAATGCATTGCTTCTCAGTAGGAGCTCTTCAGGTTGCAGTTATCATTTAGAAAATGCTAAAATGATGAGTTAGTATTTGCTTATATGCATGTGCAATATGGAGATATCTTATTTACGACATCTAGGTATACAAGGGAAAAGACAGGATTAAAATGAAATGTACTTTTTCTGAATTTACTAAAAAATAGCCAGAGAAAGAAAATTTCAAGTAGCATTGGGACGATGTATATATCCTTCTCTACAGCTGAATAACCTATTTGGTACTTAGAATTTTATAAAGAGAAGTTCTGCTCTGTGAGCAATTAAAATGAAAAGGAATATGTGTGGGGCCAAATCACAGTGCTATATAACATGCTGGCTTTATATACTTTCTCCTTGAATAACGAAATGTATTTATTTAAACTGCATTTCCTAAATGTATGTCACGAGCTACTGTTCCCTGTGAAAAATTAAGTGGTTGTCTAGCAAGTGGTTAATTATCAACAGAGAACATGAGAAAATTTCTCCAGTAGCTTAGAGTTAGTATGGGATGGTTGATCATATATACTAATGTAAATTTTTATATTATATTGCTATAATATAGTATAATAAATATATAACTCAATGACTGTACATTAAAACTATGACTAATAAGGGATTTATATGGACTATGTATGAAATTACATATATGTATGTGTATATATGCATGTACACATGTTTGTGCATTTGTTTTAACTCTCCCTTAAGTGATTACTTTCAACAGCACAAAAGAGAAGCAGCACAATGTAATTCAAATCAATTTACTAGGAAAAGATTTACAACATATGAGATAAATTCTTGTTCTTTCTTTAAAATATTGCTTTCTGAAAGACTACAGATGCTCACTAAAGGAATACATTTAAAATCCTTATGTAAAGTGATGTTGATTCTAAAGATTTATGGAGTTAAAAAGCATAATTAAATGTATATAGCAATTATGAAATTATCTGATAATATAATTAGCTCTGGTCTATGATCTTCCTTCTTTATCCTTGATTTTACAGGATACTGGACAGTGGATTATTCACAAGACTAAAGCTATGCAATAAGAATGCAATTAGAAAAATGTAGCTGATTTTTTACCAGATATAGGTGTTAATATTTGCCCTCAACTCGTGCTTTTTCATTTGATTTTACATGTTTTCTTAAAAGACAGGCCATTATACAGATGTCAAAGTTGTTCACTGTCATGGTAACATGCTTTTATGTAGGGATATTTTATCACGCCTGCTGTTGTACTCTTCTCTCTATGTGTTAATTAGTGCACATAACCCTTTTCACGTAAGTATAGCTTAGTCACTCAAAAATGGGTATATGAGTTGAACACCTCAGAGGTGCAGTTTCAGGCTGAATTACTGAAGGTGGCAATGCAATATATAATACAGGCTGACAACTATGAATTTACTGTTATATTTGTTGCCAAGCCATGCTAAAGAAAAAGGTAGGAAAGGTGTTTTGAAAGTATTAATTTGACACCCAAGAGCGGTGGGCTTCCCAGATGTGCTCAGTCTTTTTCTCAATAGACACTGAAACTGATGGTAGATTTCATGAACTCCAAATGAGTTCCCTCTGAAATTACAGAAGTAAAAATATCAGTGTTATCAGTGCTGTAATGTCAGACAACTTGGTGCTTGCCAGACTCCAGCAGTAACTGCAGCTTAGGAAGCATAATTAGAGTCTTGGTTCATGGCAAGGACTTGATGAGGTTCAATGGTCTTCAAGTTATGTCTCTAACAGTCTTCCTTTGATAAGGCATTAAAGGTGTCTGTGAATGTGTCTGTGTGCCTCTAACAAGACACTAGCACAAAATCATGTCCCACGGGACAATATAAAGCTTTTATGGTTTCTGTCTCAGCTTTTAAATAGGGATCAAAAATAATGACATAGTAAATTACACTTGTATATCAGCTCTGATGTTCACATTTAATTTCCATCACAGGGGGCTGGGTCATTGTAGTCAATGAACCTTTCTTTCTTACTTCTGTAGGACTGTCCATCCTGTACCATCCTTCTGACCCTGTTCGTCCATTCTTCTGTAGATCATTTATAAAATCACAGCTTCCATTGGAACTGCTTTGATAAATATTTTAACAAGTATTTATTATGAGGTTATATGCAGCAATCAGTGTCACAGGCAGATTCTTTACTTCTTCCCCCTTTTTAGAGGGCACTATCCACTCATCATCCTGGAAAGTCATGAGGTAAAGAAACAAGATAAATCATTGGGACAGTATATAAGGACATTAAAGGCCTATTTGCAGTATTGGTCTGCAAATTTGCTTATACAATGTTTAGGCTGTTGTTATGCAATTGTTTTGTTCCAAATATCGTGCATGGGAATATTACTGCTGGGACTTAATGCAAGGCAGCCTGTTTATAGAGGTTGAATCATTTTATATGGTCAGTGATAATAAGCTGTGACTGATATAAACAAATAATATTCTTAAATACATAAATATACTACCAGATGCATGTACATATAAAGAAAAATAATAAATAATGTGATAGTAAAACTGCACATCCTTAACACTTACCACCTTTTCCAGCAGTATAAATACTTGTTCAGAGTTTCACAGAATCACAGAATCATCTAGGTTGGAAAGGAACCTGGACATCATCTAGTCCAACCGTTCGCCTAGCACAGTTCCCACCTACAGCATATCCTTAAGCTCTAAATTGACCCTACTCGAACACCTCCAGGGATGGGGACTCCACCACTCACCTGGGCAGCCCATTCCAACACCTAACAACCCTTTCTGTAAAGAAATGCTTCCTAATGTCTAGTCTGAACTTTCCCTGGCTCAACTTGAGGCCATTCCCTCCTGTTCTATCGCTTTCTCCTAGGCTAAAGAGGCTCATCCCCATCTATTTCTATAAATATATCTTACCAGCAAACATATTACAGAAATTTGTATATTGGAATGAATGCATTTTGCCTACTTTCTAAACCACTCAAAATCGTAAGTTCAAAATTTGTAGTGGATAATTTGAAATTCTTGCTGTTTTAATGTAATACTTTACATTTATAACAATCTATGTTGTCTGTTGTTTTAGAACTACTGTGGGTTTTTTCAGGCTTTGTGTGGCCTTTCCATGACATGTTAATTACTGCACGATAAGAAATTTGAAAATGTGTAACAGTTTAAGCCTGGTCTTGGATAGAGTAGGGCTTCCTCTGCAGCTCCAACCATAGTGTCAGATTGCTGTTCTCACAGCAATAGTTGTAGAAGTAGTTACAGATCCAAGTCCAGAAATGTAACAAATATTTTTTTCAACTAAAATATAGCAAAGTTTTGCAGGAGTTTATATAAGTGGAAGCAACTATTTTCTTCCGATTAGCTGAGCTGCTATCAGCATTCATGTTACATCTCTTTGAGTTTAAAATTCCATTTAGCAAGCATAACCAATGTTCAGGACACCAGAGACAGCAATATTGTTGATGTATAGTATTCTGAAAAAATATTAATGATGGCTACTCTTCAAAAAGATATTGAAAAACAGTGCACTACAGTGCTTTAAACAATCAATTGCAAGTATAAAATATGCATAACAGCACAACATCGGGTGTCTTGCTTTCAGAATGCCATAATACATTTTTACCTGTCTATGCCTTTATTGCGTTAATTTTATTCAGCTAACAGCTGAGACACAGACTGAGTCTCCCATCTCTCAACCTATGGGACACAGTTTACTGTCTGTAAAATAAGAATATTTTATGGTTTTCTTTATTTAATCATTCTCTGTGTTTCCTATTTATATTTACTGTTCTTGTTTGTGTGCTGTACCTGACTTAACCAAGCTCCATTTTCTCATAGGTATCTAGGTGCTATAGCAATAGGAAAGGAAAACAGTCTCAACTTTCTAAAAAATTACTTGATTTCCTTATTTCATGAAAATGACATCAGACTACTTTAAAGTTAATTGAGTAACTATGAATGATGATGTACAAATTTTTGCTGCAAATACAGAAAAATAAGTCAGTTACATAATCAAGAGACATAGTCTAAGAATTTGCTACAGTGGTGATACCCATATGAAATGTTTTTGTTCAAAACATTAGTCAAAACTGTGTTTTCCTGTGGACTAGGATTATTTGCAAATCTGAGTCAAAACTGTTGAACTGTTGAATTTTTTGGATAAGCTCTCCCTCCCTTCCTTCCCTAAGACAATAATTTTATCAAAATAGTATTCTATTTACACATTTACAGTTTTCCATTATGAATTTTTTAAAAGAAAGAAAGAAATCTACATTTAATATAAAGTAATTTTTTAAAAAATCAAAAAGGAAATGAAACATTGCTTTGGATGAGAAACAACTTCTAGTCCATCTCAAATTAGTTCATTTTTTGGATTTGGGGTATTTTTTGAGATGATCATAAAACCAATTCTCCTCATTTTGAGTCAGTTTTCTACTTGATCAGTGAAATGAACAGTTAGTTTTTTGCATAGTACCCTTCTATGCCAGGTGTCAATTTGGCACTATGGTACTAATGCTGTTTGAATAAAGCTGGTTTTGTTTCATTGCCAGCAGCTGAGCCAGTGAGTTGTAATGATGGAACCTGAAATTGACTGTTCCCTGGTAAATGCAGTAGAGTGACTGAACAAGGACTTAGCTAACTACATAAATGTGCCATATTTGCATCATGATTTTTTATTGTGCAGCATTTCAGATAAAAATTCGTTATTTCTGTGACTCATGAATAAAAGTTTATGGCCAGTTTAGCTGTGGTCAGCAAGAAACTGTTCTTCCCAGTGTAACAAATGTTAAGTGTGAATACATAATTAAAAGCATCTTACTGTACTGTGACTTTCTAGAAAAGCAGCCAGGCTGGTATAGCTGCCAGTGGCAAACCCCTTTTTATTTCATTTAATAAGCTTTTAATTGTTGGATTAGACCCAGTCCTATAATACATTGGACCTTGCCAGACATGTTTCTTAGTCATAAAATAAAGATAGAAACTCTGGGACCTC